GTGTTCACAACAGCCTGCCGCTTAACCTAGGCCAGACAAATCAACTCCATACCCTCACACCCTATTTTCTTAAAATCCATTTCAGCACCAAGCGCCGATTCGCCTTTATTCCAAAACCAAGGAATTGAGATACTAAAAGAGAAAGACGCAAGCCTTCAGATGCATTTCCGCTTACATCATGCGAAAGTTTACACAATCAAAAATAGTAATTCCTCGATTCGGGAGGGGAAGGATGAGAGTCAAAGCTTTGAGCTCAACACTAAATTGAAAATATTTCTCTCTCAGAACATGTGCGTACTAAAACGATGTCGTTCTTCTGGGTTGTGACGTAGGTTTCTATCCGCGAATCTACAAGGCGTCAAAAGCCAGAACATCGTCATTTTCACTGCCTTGGAAACATCAAATCTCATATGTATGCACTAATTTCCTGTGGCAAGGTTTTTCTGTGATTTGTTTAACGACGCTGTGAGTAGTTGAGACTATATAGCGTCGAATTTTTTTATAGTGTTCTGTCTGACGACAGGTCCATATGAACAGGATCCTTCCATCCTTTTCTCGGACTGGCACCTGTTCATATACGTTCTTGGCAGATGATCCAGAAGTGGTTTGCCATTGCCTTCTTCTGTGTGTAAATGGAGTAATTGTTGGGATGCCACGGAGAAACCGGGGAAGCCCCCGGAGGAAAACTCCGTGTTGCCTAGACCACGGCCTTGCCCAACACAAGTTATAAATTCGAGCACCACCGGGAATCGAAGCCGAGACCCCAGGATTACAAGGCCAGCGTTCTAACCGCTAGTTGAGACGTGTAGTCTGCGTCGAATTACAGGATAATTAATACTAAATAATGAGTTTGAATGGATATGGAAGGAAGCGACCGTGGCTTGTTTTAAGGTACTATACCGGCATTGGAAAGACCTAGCAAAACCAAAAAAAACCTGAGTAAGAATAAGTGGTCTCCGAGATAAGATTAGAACAAAAGACCTTCCAAGTATGAAGCATAGGAATGCTAAACACTCGGCTGCATTGGTCATATTTGTGTCTTAGGATGCTACATTCTGATCAGAAGTCTTATACACGTTTGATTTACAGAAACCTTAAGATAAAAATTTCCTATGAGCTTCATGCGAAGTAGTGGTGGTAACATTCGACAGATACGATCTAAAATTAAATTCATCCGATAATTCTTAGCATAGCTCTTTCGGTACCAAATTTAGGCAACATCCGTTCAATAGTTTCGCATATGAAACATGCGGACAGACGGATTGACACTTTTTTCTTACCAATTCATAGTTTCCGAGGTCCCCGAATCAAACCCAAATTGATGTTACTAGTGATTTTTTTCCGTTCTCCTTTTATCGTATTTTTCACCAGTACATGGACCATACTTCTGGCCCCGATGTTCGTTACAGATAACGAGCAGTCGATCAGTTTATAACTACAGCTTGAGTAAATACTGCCTGTTATTGTTTACCGACACTTATGCTTGTAATTAAGATGCGAAGTTGGATGGGAAACAGACTCAGAATCTAAATAGATCGACATGTGTAAATAAAGCCATTGAAAACATATACAACCCATGCTGAGCCATCGACCAATGTGTTTGCTTACTTTCAGTCATCATTCAAACATTTGTTTACTTTTATCTTTATTAATTTTTCTCTCCTTCCTTCTTGTCTTCCTTTTATTAGTTATTTCCTTGCTTAGTCTTGATTCGTTCTAGTCTTTTATTTTCTTTCCTAGGATATTTTAATTACGAGTTAGTGAGAAGGGAATGTTTTTGTCAAATGGTTTCTTGCTGCCACTTAAGAAAGGAAATACGGGGGTGGAAATTATCAGCATCACGTGCAGAATCGAAAATAAACTTAACACGAGGTCTATCAATTCTGGATGTTTAATGACCCTCCTACATTTCATCAGTGTATGGAGAGATTTATGCTTCGCTCATTTCTGTTGTAACACATAAAATTTAGCAGAACAACCACAACATTAACGAAAACAATAGATAATTCTAAAACTGTTGTCAGGTTTTGAGCACATAGAAGCAAATAGTCGCTCAGTTAGTTAAGAAATTCTACGGAAGGTCCATTACCGTGTTTACAAGATTCCGCCACTGGTCTCTGTCCTTTGCCAGATGAAACAAGTTTACACTTCACGTTATATTTCTTTCGATCCATTTTAATAACATTCTCGAATCTATCCACGGGTCTTAAAAGTGGACATTTCTCCTCAGTTTTTCCAACTAAAATCTTGCATGCATTTCTCATCTCTTCTATGTATTCTGTATGTCCCACCACCGATTATGATTCAAATAAATGAATTAAGCTGGCGGCTACACATGAAAAATATATTTAATGTAAAAGGAGGATTTGAGGTTCTCATAGCGGTGATTACAAAGATTGCTGTCTTCTGGGTTGTTGAGACGTGTAGTCTGTTAGAAATTTACCGACGTTTCAGAGGTCCTTGCTGCCTCCATCATCAGGGCCTGATGATGGAGGCAGCAAGGGGCTCTGAAACGTCGGTAAACTTCTACCAGACTACACGTCGCAACAACCCAGAAGACAGTCATCTTCAGAGTCACCAACGTGAAAACCTTAGTCCTACATTAAGGAAGCAGTTTTTCTAATTTTATTCAGGGAAAGTTTCAAACGCAGAGGTCATACTCCGTTAATACATTAACCCGTTCGATTAAAGACTCGTCCTGACCTTTACACTCACACCCATGGCATTTAGCAAGGACCCTCTAGAGGGGTTTATGATACACTTAAAATTAAACCAAGTTAGGCACTCTCGGAAAATTGTAGTTTGGGTGCAAACACGTTCCTGATAAGGGAATGGACTCCTAGGTTCAGTTTCATTAAACTGCGCGACGAGACACCGAAATGGGATCACGTCTGTTTGAACTGTTCCAGATTATGGCATCCTTTTGTGTCTCAGACGACATAAAACATTCTCTGGCTTTGGAAGTGTTGTTAACAATTAATGTTTATCCCTGCCTTCATCGTATCATCGTTTTATTAACACTTCGTATTTTCATGAAATGAACACTTACTTTAATCGACTGTTATCTTATTTCTTCGAGATGGACCGGTTTTGAAAGAGAAGACGACGAAGTTTATAGACAAGTTTATGGATCATAAATAACACTAAAAACGCGGTTTAATATAAAATGGCTAAATGCAAATTGCAGAATTGAAAACATAACCGAGAAGCGTGTAAAATGAGAGACGATGGAGAATATAATGGCGATCGAGTTTAATCAAGCGTTAATGCTTAGACCTGTAGTCAGGAGGTACATGCTTCGAGTCCCGGCCAATCACGGGCTGATGGTTTACACGGGTTTCCTCAATTACTAAAGGTGAGTGCTAGGATAGTGTAAGGGGCTACCAACATTTCCACTCGATTCACAATTTCTCGACGGTAAATAATTTTTGTAGTTAATAGTGTCACTGAATTCTTATTTACGACCAGTTTTATTTTTATTGAATTAAAGAACCTTCTTCTATTATTTTCATACCAGAGGGAAGGCTCCTTGAAATATCGTATAACGGAGAACAACTTTTTGCGTGTTTTCATCAGTTACACCCTTCCTTCGTGTTTTTTTTCGTCCCTGCATCTCCTTCCCTCCTACCCCCTTATTCCTTTCGTATCCCTGTTATTTAAGTTTCCGTCACTCATGTTATAAACACTTCTAAAAACTGACTAATGGTAGCGACACTTGCCATCTAGCATCATTACTAAGAAATTTTAGATCTCTGGGAGCACATAACATACACCAATATTCATATAACATATCTTATACATACGTGTGTAAATATAAGTTGCTAGATATCGAGTCATACTTCTTTCAAAGAACTTTTCGAACACAAAAAAGACCACTCCATAGATGCAGATTTTTCAAGCGAGATATCTCATTCATAGCTGGGAAAATGTTAAACAGAATAAACTATAGAACTGACTTTATGAAAACTAATGCACACTCTGTAGTTGAAGAGCCTTCTACAGTAATATGACGCCAAGTGAGTGCAGAGATAACGCTTTCTGACTGAAAATTAATTTCTCTCAAGAAAGGCATCCTAATTTGGGGGAAGAACCAATTTGTACTGATATAATGTCAAAGTAAAAACATTTCTCATCAATATGCAAAACGAAAACCATTCTGGAAATGAGAAAAGTGTTCATCTCCGTAGTATTAATAAACTCCATTCCACCCACTTTCAATTACAAATATAAATTCTGGCCTTTTATAATGGATCAGAACTTAAGTTCTCATTACTTTCAAGTATTAATTCTCTTGTGATTATGTGGCCATTTGCTTCTCAAGAATTTTCATCATACTCGTATTCGATCTATGCATACTTAACTGTATGTTTCATTTACAAATCAACGTACTCGAAGTGCATTGTAAATGAAGCAGACATTAGGCAGTGGGGTCCACAGTGGCCGTGTGGTCTGAGGCGTGGGCCTTGTGCCGCTCGGTCACTGGGACCGTGGGTTCGAATCCCACTCAAGCCATGGATGTTTGTCCGCGTTTTTCTGTGTTGTGCTGTCCTGTGTACAGGTAGAGGCCTTGCAACGGGCCGATCCCTCGTCCAAGGAGTCCTACCGAATGTCTATAGATCGAGCCAATGAAAAGTTGGGACCCGCAGTGCTCAGGCACTTGAAGAACGGGTCGTTCCCAGTACCAGTATTAGGCAGATGGCAGTCTTGAAGACGATAGCATGAGAGTGGATAACATTTGCAGCAACGCAAACTTCATACAGATTCAGGCTCTTAAGAATTACGGACCTTAAAATTAATTAAATGCAATAGAACTAGCATATAGTAACAGCCTAGACAGTATTGTATATACTCCATACTGAACAACACTGCTTACAGGACAATACTTTCTCATTTTGCTTAATGATAAACTAAGCACTATAACTTCATTAATTAACATTAAATTACAATTACTATATGCCAATCTGTGCTCTATATCTTTTAATCCCCATTATTGTTTACAGAACAGAGGCAGAAATGAGCTACAAGAATGGCTGGAGACAGCATAATAATCCTGATATCAGGTCTTGCTGTTGTCACATTACTCGTTGTGGGTTTAATGCTTGGCTACATATGCATCTTCAGACAAATGTGTTGCCCTACTGATGATAAAAGTACAAAGAGGTGGGGACCTTTCCGCGACAAAACTCGAGAAGCGATGCAAATGGCCGACATCAGCAATACGACGCACATTGAAAGTCTCACGATCGAGATAGATCGAGCATCCAGCGCGTCTTATCATAAGAAATTATCTACGTAGTGTTCGAAAATGACAAAGAGTGGTGACCGCAGAAGATGCTGTAAGAACCTGCTAAGTATTTTAAGTTTTGTGGTTTACAACATTGTCTAAATTATGTACTTATAAAAGTCACTGGCAGGTAAAACTATAAAAATATACCTTATAACTTATATTATAAGCTAAATTTCCTGAATTTTTGACAGACCTGTGTATAGAAAATAAATGAAAAATAAAATCATAATTTGTACATATCTATGACAAGTTATTTATTATTTTACATTGCAATAACTTCAGTGTATCTACGAATAAATAAAATGTCAGGCACACTGTTTGGATGCCCTGCCTGAAACAACTTCTAACATTAATGTTTATTTTGA